ATTATTGCTTCTTCCTCCTGCCTCCTGTGAGGACACGCTATTATTCTTTGACACACTCTGACCTCTCATAGTCTAAGATTCTATCAATTCTCATCTTTTCAACTCTATATACTGTACAGAATTGCTGAAATTTCTATGTTTAATTTTCTCCTCTTATCTGAGTTCCAGGCCCATAGTTCCAGTTACTTCCTGTGCTGTCCCCTGGGCAATATTGTGGGAATCAAAACTTACTAGCTCTCCCTCTCGTCTGTTATTTTATTAAGAGTTTTGTCACCCAATTCCCTAAACATAAAACCTTGGAAGTGTTTCAGCTCATTGCTCTCCTTCATTCACTTCAGCCTGTCACTACATCCCATGGATTTTTCCATTTTGAAATGTTTCTTGTATTCATCTGTATTAATTAGGATATGGGTTTGTCTGTTAATAATAAAGTCCCCAAATAACAGTAGATTAAACACAATGTAAATTTAGTTCTGTCTTGTGTACAGCCCAGGTAGATGGTTCAGAGGTGGTATAATGGCTTGACCATATTAGGGATGCAGGCTCTTTCTATCTTATTGCTTTATCATCCCCAAGGTATCGTCCTTGGCACATGGTAAGTGATGGCTCATCACTACAGATACAGTCCAGCTTTCAGAAAGGGGAAAAGAGGAGGGAGGGGCCACACTCCCCTCTCTTTTAAGATATAACCTAGAAATGGATACATCGCACATTCAATGACAAACTCCAGTTGCATGGCTGTATCTAGCAGCATGGGAGGCTTGGTAATGTGACCCTTAGCTGTGTACCCAGCCAAACTTTCTATTTCTTAGAGATAAAGATGAGAGGAACTATTGGGAGCCAACCAGCAGTCTCTGTCACACCTTCCTTATTCCAATTGTACTGTCTCCCCCTTTGGTGGGCCTTTATCGCCAATGCCAAGACTACTTCTAGAGACTTACTGCTGGATTTACTGTTTGCTCACTATCAACTCATCCATCCTTTCTTTTAAAGAGCCGTGTTTTTTCTTTCTTGTTAAACCTCAGCTTCATAGCCCATAGCATCAAGTCTTTGTTTCAAAACTCTTTATACTCTGGTCCTGTTCTACCTGTTTCTGGTCTTTCTTCAACTTTCCTTCATTCATTAATTCATTTGTTTATCCAGTAAATCTGTGCTGAGTGCCTACTCTGTGTCAGGCACAGAGTCATTTATTTTCCCAAGCTAGTTCATTTGAGTTCTGTGGATAGAAAACATCCTCACGAAAGTCCGTGCTCTCTAATGTCACAGTGATTCATCTTTTGATGGTTGTTTTCATCTTTGTAATGCTTGAGAGGTTAAATGCATCTTAAGAACTGCCTTTTAAAACTAGGTCTTGGCAGTTGAAGTGCTCAATTTGCTTTTAGGAATCAGATGAAGTTCACCTGATATTTTGAATTTTCAGGCCTTTATACATTTTAGGCCTAGGATTTGCCTTTAAAAACAAGGCAAAAATAGAAAGTAATGCTTCTTGAAGCAGCTATAACTAGATGTAGTAGCTCACTGAAATTGTAAAATAGCTCAGCGCAAACGTGGACTCAGTATTACCTCATGTGTTGTAGCTGTCTAGTTGCTGATTTCTTCCCAAACAGCTTAACTTCATCGTCAGTTCCACACCCTGAGGTGTGAGCGTCTGTGTTGCAGAACATACCTTGACTGGGCTTTGTCTTCCGAACCACATTTCCTCGGTATTACAGAGGCCTGGCCAGGTTATACAAGTAGAGGGTCAAATCTTTATTTAAAAATTTGATATTTGATCATCATGAATTTCTCACACTAATTTTGATTTTTTTAATATTGCATTAAAATATTAATTGACTTCTGAGGTTTTGGGGGACCCCTGAAATCTTGTGTATGAGGTGTACTGGCTCTTTCTCCTTTATGCAAATTTTTGCGTATTGACGTGGCTGACTGCTTGAGTCATTAGCATTTTCACATTAGAAAATATACATTTCAAACAGAAAATAAGTATTCATTATTTTACTAAACCCTGGAGCAAAACTTACCTTAAATCTTACGAGATCACACTTTAAATTTTTTATTTGCAAACGAGATCAGATTGGGATGTGCTGAGAAGCCAGTCCATGAAAACTAGGCAGAGACATCAAAAGGGAAGATGAAAAAGTATCCGGGCTTAATAATTTCAGCTACTTTATTTATTACATTGTTTGGAAATAGCCGTTCTTTATTCTGACTTCAGCCTGGTAGCCTTATCTCTAAAATGGCAGTGTGTTCAAGTAATTTTCAAACTACACTCCTGGAGGAGAGGAGTGCAGGAATTGGGGAGGAGAGTGGGTGGAGACCGAAGCTGCCTTAGCCAGAGCAGTCCTGCTGTTGTTATCTGTCTTATAGACTGGCCACCTGCTAAAGAGAAAAAAAATATTTAAAAGTAGTTTGAAAATCACTGGACTGGATGCTTTTCAAGACCTTTGCTAATTCACAACCTTAAGTGGGCATGTGATTCTTGTATGAGGGACCTCGGCCGATCCAGCCACATTGTGATGTATTCCCTTGCAGGGCATGTAATAACCTTTGCTGAGACCATTGGCCTTTTCCCCTTAAGGATCTTCTTAGCTGTCATTTATATCTCCAGGTTTTCTCTAGATTTAACTGTAGTTCCAAGAGAGAAAGTGGAGAGATATCTCCAAGAGAGAAAATTAGATCTTGTGTAGGAGCAACAGCTTGCAAATTCTGCATCCAGTCTGGAAGTTCAGGAAGAACATAGTAGAACACCTGGTTGTATTTACAGTGTTTTATTTTAAATTTCTGTTAATGTATTTAACATACATTATAATGACAACATGACATACAAGTTATATTAGTCATGAGTAGATTGATACTTACAACTTACAAAAATAAATGCTTCTGAATAGGAGATGTGCGCTCAAAACAAATTTTGTTGTTGTTGTTGGGGCATGCCACTGTTCTTGAAACCTTTTCAGGAATTACTTCTATTAGTAAAATTTTTGATAATTGATAATTGAAAGGATAAGTAGAAACTCTCTGTCTCTTAAACTTTAATATATTGGGGTTTAGGATGTCCCACATAAATCTGAATTTTGATGTATGTGAGGAAGTCCGTTACATAAGTATATTTGAACGTAATGTAAGCTGCAAAGAAGTGGAGAGAGGAAAAAGAGCTACATCACTCTTCTATTTCTTTCTTTCTTTTTTGGTTCTATTACACTGGGGAGAGATAGGTGGAAATTCTTAAAAATAAAAATTTAATCATGGGAAAGCTATAAAAATATTTTTCTAAAACATGTATTTTTAAAAACACCAATAACAATGTTTAGTTTTATCTAACTGTCTTTAAACTGGATTCCTGCTTGTAGTTTCTACTACATCTTTGCCAAGAGCCATATGCAAATGTTTGAAAAATTAAGACTACAAAAGTATGTTTCTTAATCTTTTTCTCTGAGGGCTGCATATATATATTACAAAAGTTTTGAAGCTTGATTTTTTTTTTATTTTGTGACTCCTTCCCATATGATCATTTTTTCGTTTATTTTTCTCTTCCTCTTCTCAGTTCCTTATATTCAGCCTGAAAAAATAGGACTCATTTAAAGGGAAACAGTCTCGGATACCCAGTGAGAGGAACGTGAAAACCATATAGGAAGCAGGGTAGAGAAACAAGGTTAGAAGATGTCTGCTTTGGATTTTTAAATTCTTCCACGGTGATGAAGTATGCATTCAGACAGCTCTGAGTCTGAAAAGCACCTCACACACCTTGACATTCGACAGATTTATTGCATCCCTCCTACCATGTGCGAGATGAATGAGTCACAATCTGTGCCTTCCAAAGGCTTAAAAAAAACCTGTGTGAGGTGGAGGTGAGAAGGCATGCCTAGTCAGAAATTGATAATATAGGTGATGAGTTCAACAACAGAGATATACCGGAGTGTTTTAGAGCACAGAGGAAGGAACCTACCTAGTGTGAGGGGGCAAGGAAGGTTTCTGAGAAAGGGTTGCCCAAGTGAACCCTGAATGGATGAATATGTGTTAGCCAGGGGATGGAGAGGGCATTGAGGACAAAGAACCACAGCTGCTAGGGCAATATAAACAAGGCACAGGGGACCACTGGTAGAGCGTGAGTGCAGAGCTTTAGGACTAGTGCAGTCTGGCATGGGTAAAAATGAGGGAGAGGTAGACTGGGGCCACCCCCTAGAGCTGTGTCAAGAATGGATTTTCAGGAAGCAAGAATGCATAGAAGGAAATCATTTAGGGTATTGTTGCAATAGTCCAGTAAGAGAGTGAATGGCAGGCTCAACTGGAGCAGTGGGAGTGTGATGGAGGGTGTTTGCAAAGCACACTGCTGCTGTCAGTGGCTAATGGAAATACCCATGGTTTATACCCCTATTATTTTTCACCCTTCTTGGGTCAGATGCCCAGCCCTGAAGTACAAGGCCCAATCTATGAAGAGAAATTATACGAATGTAGTTTATCTTTATTTCTAGGAGCAAGGTGGTTGGGCTTCTTTCACATGGCTCCCATGTAGATACTGGGAATATTGGTACAATGCTTCAAGGTGCTTAAGAAAGATGTACAATTCTCCACAGTCATATTCCAGAAGTGCAGTGTGTTTCTACAACCTCCCAAAAGCACAGTCATGCCATATACTTTGTTATAGTCACTTTCTATGCCTACAAAGTTTTGCTGTAATGAATGGTTGTTTTTACGTCATGACTTTCTCAAATTGACATTAACCCCTAATAGCAATGATGCAGTAATTATTCATTTAATTTTGTAGCTGGCAATTCTGTGTACTGACACTTGTTATTTGAAATGAAGCCTTTTGACTTTAAAGAGAAAATTTTGTTGTAGAATTGGAGGTTCTGCTTTTCTCAAGAAAGTCAAGCAAGCCATGCATGGTGTTTACCAGTTTTAAGTTAAAAAGAAAGACACAGTGACTAAAATTTGATAATCTAACTGGACTTTTGCCTTTTCTGATTCTCAGTTTTGTTTTGTTTTGTTTTAATTTACAGAAAAAAAGGTTTATCAGCGTTTCTTCCTGAACCTGCCTTAGAAATAACAGCATATTTTAATCAGAGATTTGTAAGTATCATTTTTCTTCTTTATTTAGGAAATTAGATACTGATTTTGTGGAAGAGGTTACTTCTTCAGTAAAACACTTGACAGGATACAACTATGCAATCTGAGTTGGTGTGCAAAATTTGACTGAGAGTAAAACACACACAAAAATCATCCTTCAGAAAACAAAGCAAAGAAACCAAATCCTCAACCAGGAAATCTTCACCAAATTTATCTACAGCTAGCGAATGCTGGATTTATTTTTTGGCATTCTACTTTCTTGATGTCATCTTCTTTCCTTTTTCCCCTTTGTGAAAATACCTGTGTGTTCGCATATTTTAGAAAACCTGTAACATCAATGGGAAGGAAGAGGAAGGTGGTTGGGTATGAACAAAGGAAAGGGAAGAATTTGAATTCTGTTGAAAAGTTAGATGGCTTTGGACAATATTGTATTTTCCATTAACACTTTTAGTAAATTTTTTTAAAAAACCAAAACTAGATCTCATAATAGCTGTGGTCCATTCGGTTTCTTCATGTTTATGAAATGCCTATTATTGTGCTATACCCCAAAATGGTCAACTCAGGAATAGGGAATCTGGGAGACCTCTCCTGTTTCAGTTTAGCAAGAGATCAAGACAAGCACAGCTTTTCACAAACAGGTATTTTATTAGATGAATTGAGAAGAATCAGTGAGGGAAGAATCAGTGTGGGAAGCTTTGTCCTAAAAATGTATCTGTTGTAGTAGCATTTTATATTTTATTCTGTGAAAGACGTTTCAAGTCTAATGTAGTCCTTATTCTAACAGTGAAGCAAAAAATTGGCATACTGAGTTGAAGGGCACACAGTCCAGGGCCTGTGGTATCAAGACAGGTCAATGAAGCAGAGTCAGGTGACTAAAGTCTGGAGCTGGGTGGGTTCCTCACCAGGTGGGTGAGACCATGGACAGCATACTTCTGGGAGGCTTCTCAACAGTAAATATTTGTGTTTGAAGGTTGTTGACTAGAACTGATGACTACCTTGGACCATTTTATGATTCTAGGACATTCCTGAAATATTGTTGCTTAGTGGTTAATAATCATTATATCTTGGCTAATCTATGATTATTACAATGACATTCACATTTGTGAAGTAGCTAATAAAACCAACCAACAGGAACTGAAACATGTTGCTAACTTGCTTCATCAGATAAGATCTCAGCAAATTGTTTAATTAAAAGGTTGTACTGAACTCGTAATTGCTGAGATCAATAGCAGTGTTGGCTGTTCTTCAGCTGTGTGGCATTAGTTTTCAGTTCCAGTGTATTCACTTATGAATCTTTGGGGGAAGTTACCTGAACTCTACTGCTTCCGTTTGTCAGTAAAATGAGGGTAGAAATGCTTATGTCACAGATTTGTTATGGGATTAAATGAAGTGATGAATTACGATATGAAGAACAGTGATGAAATAGACCTATACTGCAATCATAATTCTCTCTTTACTATATTGTTTTGTCGACTTTGAGGTTTTGTCCACATAGTGATTTCATTTGTCAGCATATATAAGCTATGTACAAAATCACTGAAAGAATTTTGGCCACATTCCCAGGTATTTTTTTAACATGCATCTTAGATAATTTGCACAAAACTGATCTACAGGCTACCCTTTGAGAAACACTAATTTTCCTTAAAAATGAGCCCCAAACTAATTGATCACCAAAGGCACATGAGAGCTTTGTGAAAAATACATATTCCTACAGTTCCATCTTGAAATTTTTGATTTGGCAGATCTGGGGCAAGGTGTTGGAACTTGTTTTCCAAAAGTTGCCGCGCTGGTTTTGATATTTGCAAACCACTGCTTTACAGCTTTACCATGTCTCCATTTTTTTTTTCCTCATAAAGTTTTTGGCTATGCTTCCTATATATGGATGAGGAGATATCCTTATTGAGACATCCTTCAGCTAGTCCAGATCAGGTTACAGGCATGAAAGCTTGAGGGTGCATGTCTGCATTTGCATGCATTAACCAGATTGACCATCTTCTTACTCTTGGTAGTGTAGCTGCTTTAAGTAAATCAAAGTGCTGAGCCCATATATTAAAGAATCCCTGCAGGAGAAAGGACCATGGGAGACCATCTAGTTCAAACCTCTTACTTCACAGAGGAGGAAACTGAGATTTGCCCAAGGCCACAAGCAAGACTAAGACTAACACTTGGATTTCCACCCCCAGCTCCGTCTCTCTTCCATCCCAATTGGCTGACTGTTCTGCCATTTGAGGAACCTGCAACACCCATGAAACCAGCTTCTCCGGTGTTGGCCAGCAGGTGTAGAAAGTGCTCTGTGAGTAGCTTTCCTGCTTACCTGTCCAGCTGTTTCAAAGGGAGAGCTTTTTCTTTCCTGACTCCAGTCTTCTGTCCTAATAAAAAGACGGAGGAAGGTCACTGAGGGACTGAATGTACTCACTGGGAGAGTCAGCTTGTTCCAGCAGGGGCGCTGTCTTCTCAGTCACCTTCTGGGTTCTTCTCAGCCAAAGCCATCTGTGCCTTTTCTCAAACACCATATCTCTTGATGGCAGAGCCATCATCTTTTTAGTCTGACCATTCTTGTAACCTTCTTTGTCTTGGCATCTCTTACCTGACTTCAGTTGCTTCTATTTGGACACCGGTCAGCTCTGAAGTGCCATTACATTCAACAACTATTAAATACTACCACTCTGTCCCAAGAACAGTCTTACGTAGTCTTACATGGAAAATGAATCCAGCATGGTCCTAGTTTCAGAAGAGGTCACAGTATCACAGGGAGGGAGATTAGTATAAAAATGGTGCAGGAGTGCTTGAGAGTGTCACAGGAGCCACAGCGGCCACTTCTTAGGGGAATCTAAGGAGGCTTTTGGGAGGAGGTGACAGTAGTCTTGCTTTAAGTGCAAAAATTACAGCCCTCAGTATAAATGTGCAACATTTTGCAACCATGGGAAGAGAATGTTTCTAAGACTTAATGAGGAGAGCTAATGCAATTGAGATTAATAAGGCAAAGATCCGCCTGATGGACAGAAAGGGACACTGTAACCTGTGGTGGAAGACCCGAGTCTCCTCCTCATGGTATCACCCCAACCTGTGTAACCTTGGCCAATGCAGTCAGATTCCCTAGGGCTCACTTGACTGCTCATTCAATTCATTCAAATAATGAAACTCGTGTTATAGTTTGTCCTATATACTTGGGATACAGTCAGGTGGAACAAAAGTGCCTCCTCAGCAAAGTGTTTTCTGAGCCAAGGCCTCTGTTTTGAGTAGTTGTTGACCCAGTGAGGGGAAGCTTTGAAAGGAGGAGCTCCGGCCAGTGGGCTGAATAAATATGGGGGTGAAGGATGTGGGTGTGGGAGTTACAAGTCCTGAATGGGAAGCAGTTTCCTTTGGCTGCCGAACCAGAGTGGAGGAGGGAGGCGTGGCAAGAGGCGAGGCTGGGAAGTAGGCTGAGTACACATCGGGGAGGGTGCGTCAGTCATGCTGAGGAGCTGGGTGACGTTTTCTTGGCATAAAGGGAGTAGTCAGAGAACTGAGATAGTCATATTTGCATGGCTAGTGTAGAGGACGGACTAGAGGCCCACAAAACTGAGGCCGGATAATGAATGGCGGGTATCATCTAATGTAGAAAGGCTGATGCCCTTAAACAGGTAGCGACGGGGGGTGAGCAGAGCAGTTGGTCCATTGGTTGAAGAGCCCTTTAGGGAATAGCGTTGATGTGACTTGATGCTCACGAAGGGTGAGGGAAAAGGACACCTGCTGGGTTTCTGACTTGTGCAACTGGGTGGATTATAGTGCTGTTCACTGCGAAAGAAACCCAGGAGGAGGAGCAAGTTCCAACAGGAAGATGACGATCTCTAACGTGAGGGGATGAGCCCCGCTGCTCTGTCCTGGGGCTCTTCAGTGTGAACTGGCCCTCCACATGCTGAGAATATCACACACACACTGTCCCACTTAATCTTTATAACTGTGGGAGGTATTATTATGTGCATTCAAAAGATGTAGGAGCTGAGGCTCAGAGAGCTGACTGCCTCACATAACATGCCTCCGCTAATAAGTAGTGGAGCCAAAAGTTCAGACCAGAATGCTAAAGCGGGTGTATTTCATCCTAAAACACACGTACCTTCTGTTATATCACTCTGCTTTCCTTTTAGCTCTGACGCATTTAATTCTGTGAAAATAGGTCACTTGTAGAACACAATCAACTTTAGACTTTATGGATGGTTAAATCGAAGGCATAAACTCTACCTTCTAATTTATCATTATCTCTTCTTCGGAAAACTGCAGCTGCCTTGAAACTCATCTTTGAATCCACTCTTCTTTTCCAATCTATTTCATTTGCTGCAGCCAGAGTGATCTTTTTAATGTTCAGTTTTGATCGTCACACTATTGCTTAAAAGATTTCAATGCCTTCCCAGTGCTATTAGGATAGTCGGCCGAATCCTTAACAGGCGTCAGTGATGCAGCCCTTGTTAACTGAGCTACTCTGTCTTGTGCCATTTCCCACCTTCTTCTCTGCGTTTGGGCCACACTGGTTCCTCCAGTTCCTGGAATGTGCTGTGGTCTTCTCTGCTGGGAATACTCTCCTTTTACCTGTATACCAGCTACTCCTTTTCTCCATCTCTCAGCTCGTGTTGTCAATGCGTCAGGTCCTGATACACTCACTTAAGCCCTCATTACTTTTCATCTGAGAATCACTGCAGTTTGTATTCATACACGAATTTGTGTTGATTATTTTTTTCTCATCCGTTAGGTTCCATGAAAGTAGTTATATAACTCTTTTGCCAGGCGTATCACTGGCACTCAGTAGATATTTTCCAAGTTAACTAATACATTTATAAATGAATAAACATGATTCTGGATTAGCTACTTTATAGTTGATTGTGTATTTGGTATGTTACTATTTAAAATTGAAAAAGAACTTTTTTTTTCCTGCAAAATAAACTGAGCTTCAGTCACATACAATATTGTTTTTTAATACCTCGATGATATAATATGTCGCCTGGTATTATATTGTAATTGGTTTTTCCCTTTCTGAAGTCAATTTTTCTTTGCTTGGTAAATGAAGCTATTTCCAACAGCATAGGGGTAATTACTAAACTGACATTTTTTTTGGATTATACCAATTAAACCAGGGCAATTAAAACTTGGAAATGGCAACTATAAAAGAACAATATGTCATCATTGTGTTCCAATAAAGGATGGAAATGTATTATAATTTGTTTTTAAATGTCACATCTTTATTGCACTTGCTAATTAAATGAGATTTTCCATCCTAGCCTTGCTGAAAATAATTTAGAATTTTCAGGAGTGATATCTTATTTTTTCCCCCTCAAGAACAATTCTCTGCCATGTGACTAGCATAGTCTAACAAATGAGGCTTGTATAAAGCCTGAGGAAGGATGCAGTTAATGTGTCAGCCCACAGCCCTTAAGTGGAGGTGGGCTGTCAGTGCTCAAAATAGGCTCCCAGGACTCTGGGATGAATAAATGATTGGACTGTGGGACGGAATCTAGTGAGAGAGATTTTTGCATTCTATTCTACACATGCATTGCTGAGACCCCCTGGAATTGCCTACTGAAATTGCCTACTGAAATTTGACAATCATAGTTATCTAGCCTTTCAGACTCAGAGAGCTAACTGAGGGGCTTGGATTATATGAGGGTTAAACAATTTTTTTTCTTTAGCTTGAATAGCCTAGAATTCCACAGGAAAGAGGAGGGGAATTAAAAGTAGGTGGAGGAAGGCTGACATGCTAACCATTCAAGTTATGATTGTTACAGGAGATAGAGTACTGGCCATGAGGGCTTGATTTTTGGTACAGTCCAGTATTTGCCAACAGTAAGGATCCTGATCTCCTAGAATTCTACAGAATTATTGGAGAGATCCACAAAATAAATACTGTCACATACCATGTAGACTACCATTTTTCAAATGTATATAGGTTATTGTTATAAAAATAAGAGTTAATTTCTTTAAAATGTCTATTTCATAGTACCTTTTCAACTATTTTATATTTTCTCAATCAACAGATACCTAGAAAATGTAAGTTTTTCACCCTTGAGGAGTCATCTTGGCATTAAACCTCAATAAACATGGTCGTAGCACTCATACTATAGGATGTACAGTCTTTCTGTTTATTTTCCCCACACCTAGTATTTCTGAGAACCTTCAAATTCTCTGAATCTCTCCTGGGTGCTTGCTATTTGTCACTCTTTCTGGCCTGAAGCTCTGGTCTCCCTGCTCACCATTTCTGCTGTCTCCTGAAGCTTTTGATGCTGCTGCATCTCTCTCTAGTCTGTATCACCTTAGCTGGTCCTCAGGGTACACCCTTTGCTGCCTACAGCAGAGATAGCACTAAGATGGTTGTAGTGCATAGTAAATGTTACCAAAGACTTGAAGATAATATGAAAGAATTATAGTGCAGAAAAGGGAAACCTAGAATTAGATACTCAACACCATGACTACAAGAGTCCATTAATTGTGCCCACTCGCAGGGCTCCCCTACTGGTTGACTTTCGCCTTAGTGTCCTGCCTGCCACCTTGTTTCAGGTGTCTGCCCACGTCCACAGGCATGATTACTGCAATCTTGTTCTGCCTCCCTGGAACCTAGGCTGGAATCCCTCTCCCTACACATAGAGAAATCAGTATATGTTATGATTGTTATATCTTGGCAGTTATGCAATTCATACCCCAATGAATACAACATTTAAATTGCAGTAGTAAGTAATTAGTGTTACTAGTGTTATTGTCTGAATCTCATCATTCCAAAGTGGAATTCTTATGTAACTAAACCTCCTTCTGGTACAGGAAAAAGAATGTGGGGAAAGAGGATGGCTGTGTCCCAGGTCTCAGTTGAGTTCCTAGGACACACCCTGCCAAGTGTGGGTCCTTGGCTTCACACAGGAAAGAATTCAAGAGTGAGCCACAGTTGAGTAAAGACAGATTTATTCAGAGAGCTACATACTCCATAGACAAGAGTGCAGGCTGTTTTAGAAGGCAAGAGAAAGGCCACAAGGTGCGAGATTGGTGCTCAATTTTAAAGTAAAAGTAGTTATACACACACTCCATAGACAAAGTGTGGGCTGTCTCGGAAGGCTAGGGACTGAGAGGCACGAGGCATGGGGATGAGGGTTTAAAGTAAAAATAGTTACACACTCCATAGACAGAGTGCAGGCCATCTCACTCAGAAGGGAGAGCAGACACGAGGCATGGTGTTGTTAGTTTTTATGGGCTTGATAACTTCTTACGCTAACGTGGGAGGATTATTCCAACTACCTTTGGGAAGGGACTGGGATTCCCAGGATTTGGGCCGCCTCC